ATATATATATATATATATATATATATTTTAAATTCACAAATGAAGTCACTGAAAGGTACAGCACATTTGGACAACAGTCAGGTATAGTATGTTTGCCAACCTAGTTACTGTCAAACTAAACAAGAGGCGAGCAGGGGTATGTCCCATGTAAAGCCTCCCCTGGACTTTGATAGTAGTGAGCTGTTATCTTCACCCATCTTTCTGGTGTATAACTCCACTTGGGGATGGCGCACATTCATCTGTAAAAAATTAAACACTAATGGCAGTGCCCTGCTCACAACTCATGCATAAAGCTCCCACCAGCTTGAGCAGGAGCTACACGGAGCCTCTGCAAGCTTGCAGCATTGAGATGGTCAAAATAAAAATGGTTTTGCTGGACTTTGCCATAGTTAAATCAAGCAAAAGCAAAAAAAAAATGCTCATGGGGCACAAGAAAACCTTAATTTCAAAGTGAGGGCTTACTGCTGCAACACAGAACACTGAAAAGGGTGTGATATTTTTCCACCTGGCTTTGCATTTATGCATCATGTTAATATATTAACAGAGAGCAGGAAGTAAAAGGGTTTGCCTGGCAATCTCTCAATTCTTGCAAATGACTTGAAAAACATCTACCTACACACAGAAGTAGCTGTAAGGGTGTAAGTAACAGAACATATTTTTAAGTTTGCAGGAAAAAAAAAACCCAAACCCCAAAGAGCATGCTCACAAGCCCAGGCTTTAAACTCATGCAAACTACAGATCAATAATTTGAGAATGAAGCTAGTCTCTGTCCAAACTCAGCAGTTACTATTCGATTAAGTGTCTAAAAAACTGCTGCAATAACGTGTATTTCAAAGCTTGCTTTAATCAAACAACACAGTATTTGCAGTGTCTTCAGACAGTCCTGAAGGTGTATGTTGATTTATTTTTTGCTTGCTTTCTTCTTTATATGGAAAGTTTAACAAAATAAAATAAAGAGAGGCCCAGTCCTGTGACATTCACTGTGACAGGGATATTCCTTCTTCCTGGCCTGAATTTTGATCAGTCATTTATGCTGATCTCAACTGGCTAATAAAATGCTGTCCATCAGATTTGAAGGCATCTTCCATCCCAATGCCATTTGACTGCACTTCTTTAAGAAGCCTCAGCCCATGGAGCTGATTTACGCCAATTCCCACCGATTAATGGACTTTGGATCTCTCCCAAGGGAGAAGGCAGTGGAGAATCAGGCACTAAGAGAGTACTTTGACTGCATGAAAGGGTGACAGGGCAGAGCCAGGGACTGCTTTTGAAGTGGTAGCTATTGTTATGCTAAAACCCAAAATTAAAAGAAAGGGTGAGATCGCTTATCCCAACAGTTCTAATCCTTTCCATTTCTACATTAACTTGTCCTTGCAATAGAAAGCAATTTGCACAATTAAATAAGACATGTGACAATGAAAGCAATTTCACTTTAGCTCCAAGTTCATGAGAGCTGCCCATAGCAGGGGAGAGAAGAAAAAAAAAAAAAAAAAAAAAAAAAAAACAGAGAGAGAGAGAAGGAAGGAAAATAAAAATCTGCTTCCCAAGCTAACTACATTAATATCCTCTCCCTGTTCAAAAATGAGCATGGGGTTTTCAAACCAACCGACTATCAAATATTTCCTGGGCATGCAATTTAGGATCTTTACAGCAAAGTTTGCTCCTTAATGGCCAGCCTACAACATTCCCAGCACGGTTCTGATCCAGCTAAGCTAATGATAAAGTTACAGCTTAGAAGTTAATTATTTACTGCACACCATCAGGCAGAGTAAAATTCATCTGAGTTCCCTTTGGGCAGTCAACGAGCTTGGGACCCAACCCCCTGATCCAAGGAGGAGCTGTGGGAGCACCCTCCATGCAAACCCACAGCAGCTCTGGTTACTAATTTTAGACATTTCATCATTTTTTGGTTACAGCCTCATTTTCTACCTGCCCTTTCCTGTTGCTGTCAAGGATTTATATAAGCAGAGGAAAATGGACTCTTAGACCAAAAGTATACAACCACAACTATATTTCAAGTACCACACGTTTGGGTTAGTTTGCTTGTTTAGAAGAGATTTACTGGAATTGAAAGAAAAATGAACAAAAAAACAAACAACAACCCCCACCCAGGATTTTGGCATCCTTTCTGTTAAAGTTTATGGAAGGTACTAGAGAAGAGAGAGCAAAAGTAAAAATCCTTTCTTGTTCAAGGAATAGGTACAAAGAGCTACATTTTCAGCTTTTCAGGTAAAAAAGAAATAAAGAAAAACCCATCCTTTATTTAAATACTGCAGCATTGGCCTTAACTTCCACTGCCCAATACATGAGATACCCTTTCCTAGTTTCTCAGTGCATGAGGAGCATCCCACCTGGCTGCCCCACAGCCTTGCTATGCATCATATGATGCAGAAGAGGCCAAGGCATGAAGTCTCAGCAGAGATGCTGAGCCCAGCAACACATTTTGGGGCAATCCTGACCCCTCTTCCTGCTGCTTCCATCAGAACATTTGAGAACTATGTACTTGCAGTTAGCACCAATCAACCGCCTGTGGGAAGAAAATGCTCTCTGCTTTAACACCATTTGAGCACCAGAGACCACAAGCACTCTAGATGTTTCCTTTCCCAATGATATATGTGTGAATGCATTCCAGCTTTAAAGAATTTCCCTGTGCCTAAGGTAAAATGTTGTACCCGAAAGCCATCAATTTTACCCAGGAGACAAACTAGCTTAATGAACAAAACAATGAATTGCCTCTTTAAGAAAGCTGAGAGTCACATAAGAGTTGTGCATGTGGCAGAAAAATGATTAAAGATCATTTTACAGGCAAAATAACTGCACCTCACTTGGAAGTCATTTATTGCTCAAATTGGTCCTGACATTAGAGAACCTTTTCTGGTCAGACTGAGTCAGCAATGGCAGAGCAAAACGTAACCGATAAACCAAGGTGCAAAAAGCACCATCAAATTGGTACGGGATTGGTTTAAAGCATGCCTCATAGAAAGCTACAGCACTGAAAGTCACTGGCACAAGTTCCCATGGAACTGGCCCATGGAAGTCATCCCGACTCTGTCAAGGGCTGGGCATTTTGCTGAAGGACATATCGATGTTTCACCCAGCAGACACGTACCCGAGCCTGGCCGTGGGTCCAAGGACACTGTGGCAGACACTGCTGGCATTTCAGCACACCAGGAGAACTGCCAGGGATAGCGCATCCTGCAGTCTCTGTGCTGCTCGAATCTGTTTGTTTGCAGGGTTCTGAAGGATTTACTTACTGAACCT